TTTCCCCGTGTCACCTCCACAAAAACATAGCTGAATGACGGCATGTAGACAAATATTTTAAATATAATTGAAGAAAAATGCTCACTGACTCATTCCGCGGAAGACTATAGACTTTCAGGAAATAATCCTAATGCCGCACTGTGGATCGAGTCGATAGGAGAGGTCGGACGAAATTTGGAAACTTTAAACGCTTATAACTCCGTTTATACAAAACTTTGAGGTTCTGAAAGTGGTTTCACTGGTTTCCTCGTGAAATTTTCTTCATAAAACATCCCTCATAGTTCAAAATGTGACGAAATGAACTTCAAAATTTGCAGTTTTAGTCAAAAATTTTATGTCCGACCTCTCTAATTGACTCGATCCACTGTGTGCCGTGACGAATTTTTTATGTCATCTTTTGTGGTGGCTAAGACTTAATGACTTAATGACTGACCCTTAATGACTATCTGTAACGCGATCGAAGATTCGTGCTTATTGTTAGATTCTTACCTTAAAAGCACATCAAGCAATATGCTTACCCGTTATAAAGTCGGTAGATTATTCGGACAAGAGCTGGGCAAATGGGAAGAGAAGATAAAATAATTTACTCGTGACACCGTATGAAATCTCATATAATCTCGTCAAAGCGCATTAGAGTATGCAGTTGGCGAAAGCAGGGAGCATAAATCTTAGGAGCACATATAGTTCCTCTTTGAATGAAATTAGGGAGTCTCAAAAGAAAATAAACAACAATCATCCTTTTTCGTACTGGGTATGAGAATCGGATTTCAGGAGGTTGTTTGTGGTGTCTCCGGGGAGTATGAGTCAAGAGACGTGAGTAACGCGACAGCCGCCGCACATAGGAACGAAACGGCGAGAGAAATTGGACGTATTTCTATCAAACAGAACTATGTGCATTAGGACATGAGCCCTGAGATCCATAATACTACTTGCATAACAGGGCTCACGTCATAATGCACATAGCCCCGTTTGACAGAAATACGTCCAATGGACCACTAGACAAGGTACGAATTTAAGCATTCTGATACATGTTTCTTAATCAGAATTTCACGTAGAGCACGATTTGCGTAACGAAAACTAATAAGACTCACTCCAAACGAAGATATTAATGTGTTTATTTCACATTAATTACGAGGAATTTGAACTGCCCGCTGACAAGAAACTCAAAGCTCTACGTGAGTCAAGTCGCGCACTACAACGGTTTCAACAAGCTTCTCAATCGAGTAATGTTCATTTTCCACCATGTGTTGTTCAAACTATAAGCAATTTGCTACAGCTGAGCCAGAGCGTCAATATTGTGGTTGCCAGATTTTTATATCGCAGAGACTGTCATGATAACGTTTAGCCCACGATGTGAATCACGCAGAGCATTGAGTATTCATGAGCGGGTGGTTTGAATTCACGCATCAAGAATCATTAAATATCTTTGGAAGGAGTTGATTTCGGTAATTTTCGTTGTGCGCGTCGTATTATACGTGAAATTTTGGTTAAGAAACATGTATCAGAATGCTGAAATTCGTACCTTGTCTAGTGGTCCATTGGACATGAACCTTTTACAAAAAACTCAAAAATGTTCATTTTATCAAATTATTCAGTTTAAGGGATTATCATTGAAAGAAACTTTACGGCAAAACCAACTATACCAACTTTCAGCTGCTCCGTTTCGTATTATCGAGGATGTGAGCGTTTAAATATTCCGCACTTTGTCTGAGCCCTCCTACTAGCTCGCCTCACTGAGCGCCGCGACATTGCTCCTCGTTGTGCTCGCGCAGCCCCGGTTTTTGCCAAGATGTAGAAAGTGCGAATAGAAAATTGAGACTTCTTTTTAGACTCGGCGGTGCTCCTTCATTCGGCGGTTTCTCCTGCTGAAGAACTCTCAAAGCACACTTGCGATTACAGAATCCTTTCAAATACCTATGTCGTGAATGTGGCCGTCGGTGGCGTGCGTGCTCACGATATATCGATTAATCGGTCATTTAAACCTATGGAAAAGGATCGATCATTGGCGCCTACAAACCTAACAGGGATACTTCACGCATTGCGCAATGCGTGAAGTATCCCTGTTAGGTTTGTAGGCGCCAGTGCGTCGCCGCGCAATGCGTGAAGTATCCCTGTTAGGTTTGTTGGCGCCAATGTGTCGCCGCTCCGCTTTGTGTTAGGCTCTAATATTTAATCTCGCGGAGTCAGCATTTTTCAACTCATGATTTTGAAATGTTTGTACACTCTGTATGGACCATCTCATTTTAATTGATGAAAAAAAATATGTTTTAAAGGAAAATATAATGTGTGTTTTGTAAATATTAAGGTAGTTCCGTATCAAACTTAATGATTTCCAAATCACACAAATTTCTACACAATTTCTTATAGCCTTTAATAGCCAATGGCGATAAAGTGTAAAGCCCGGCGATAGGAACTATAGCCCGACTGTATACTTTTTTATAGCTTCGTATAGCCCGGCTATATGATTTGCTCCGCTTTCTACAGCCAGCTATATGATTTTCAATAGCCTTCTTTAGTCGGCTATAAGAACTCCTATGATATTTTGAAACGCAGCTCGTATCGCCAATTTTTACCAGGGTAATATGTATTAAATTAATATTGTGCTATTTTTTTTAAACTTCGTTCTGAAGTTTCGCAACGTTAATATATTTACACAGTGCAATGAGGAACGCACACTCCAGCATTTTTCGCTAAAATTTGGGATCGTTTGCGCTCTTGATACTTACAGCTAGGAGATAGTCATCGACCTTTGATTCTGAGTTACTTCGATATCATAATTTGATTGGATTATTCAAAACGTCTGAAATGTTGCAGCTCCTTATATGCAATAAGAAAGTAAATATGAAGGTTCTTTCCAATCGCGTGAATGAAAAACAGTAACTTCAATATTTGGTGAAATATTCAAAAATTATAATTTGGTACCTTCTAATGTTATCTGGATGATATCAATCTTCTGAAGAACAAGAGACTCAAGCTCTTTTTTGAGAAATTGGTTAAAAAGCCTCCTCTTAAGCGTTGAAATGTGTTCGTCGTCTATTGGTGTATAGTTTCGATGTTATATATAGTTGCACTTATACCTAGGCAGGGAGTCGCTGCTTATGTGTACATAAACCAGCTTTCACTACTTTTACGTTTGATCGAGTCCTTTACACCTCGTCATTGCAATCATAGATTAGTCTATGATTCCTTTCTATCGCTCTCTTTCTCTCCTCTGTCTTCCTCTCACATTGTGCTATTATCTGTGTCATATCAATTCGAAAATTATATTAGATGTATTGCTAGTTCTAGGGCTGTTATTTACAATCAATTATTTTTATCTTTTACGTTTTACATTTTTTTTTGTACAAAAATTAGTTTTTTTCCGACCAAAATGTTACATGTTAGACCATAGTCCATGAGAGAAACACTAAAAATATTTTGCACTACTCTACTTATTGGGCAAAAAAATAAATATTCGTCACGAAATTGAAACATGCATAATTTCAAAGAACGTACTTATCAAAAATTTGCAACAGAATTTGCAAAGTACCAAGCTGTAGGATGTTCATTTAGGTGTCCTTTAATGACTCAACAACAGAAGGTGGAGCAAATTTTCAGGGACGGTTATTCATCTCTTGACTATGCAGTTGCGGCTACAGAGTTAAAATTTAGAACTCGCCTATTCAGCACCCAAAACTGTTTTTCGGTAGCCACAATTTATAGTTCCTCTCCAAGAAATGTCCCATCCCAATTTTTTTCTCTCTAGTTGTAACATTTTTCCCGCTATATATAGTTGGGGAATAAAAAAATAGGAACGAATAAGCATACAAATCTTCAGCGCATTTCGGGTACTCACTTCATTGATACCCGTATCCGTCACGAGGCATTTTTATTTTGTGTGAACGTCCCATTTTCTGCATTTTCATTTTTTACTTTCTTTTTTTCTTGTTACTTGTATTTACACTTTGCGTCGCCTGTTCTTTTGTTTTAAATAACAAATTAATAGTGCCAACTGAAGAAAAAAGATACGTAGCAATGGAAAAGTCTACTCAAAGAATATTACTTACTCCAGCATGTTAATGCCGAAAGAATCAAAATCTCGTCAATTCTCAGATTTGAAAAGAAAGAGATTAAGTATGATCAAACATTTAGTAAAGAAAGCGGTCCTGAGATCTCAGCCCCACATGACACGAAATGTTTGCCCCTATGGAGGTCTTTTTTTGGTGTTTAGTAAGTCTAAACCTCCTTCTCCAAGAGGTATTTTTAACCTCAGAGACCCTTTTCTTTGAAAACTTCCATAGAGCAAAGAAAAGGAGGTGTTTGCATCTTAAGGATTGCTCACCCCAAGACGTAGGTCGGTACAGGTACTCCAGCAAAATTCGGAATTCGAAGTATGAAAAATGGACCTAACGTCCGATTTTTTTGCTTAAATAAACTCATTATGTAATTTCAAACATTTTGTGTAGACTGACTTTTTTCCATAAACTACACCGTTTCGATGATGAAAATCGTCCGTACCGACCTACGTCATAAAAAAAAAAAAAAAAAAAAAAAAAAAAAAAAAAAAAATCCAAAATGCCCGAAATGCAAACCCCTTTTAATCTTTCTTTGGAAAACTTCTGGCTCTGCAATACGGCTTTGCTTTCACTCCGTTCATTGGAAAAAAGTCACTTGGATCTGGAGTCCAGACTCTTAAAAACATTGACAAGAAAAAATACTCTCGATTCAATCCGATTTTTCCTTGATTCGAAGAGCCGGGCCTCTTGATTCAGGCGGATTTTCTTTTGATTCAAGCAAAAAGTCCGATTGAATCAAGAGTATTTTTTCTTGTCAATGTTATTAAGAGTCTGGACTTTAGATCCAAGCGACTTTTTCCCCAGTGTTGTAAAACAATTACCTATTTTTTTAAACGGAGCTCGTTAGGAATTCTTTTTACTACCCACACTCAAGGCGACATTTTAAGAGATTCTAAGTGAGCATGCATTTTAATTGTTTTTGACTTGATGTTATTTTCTTTGTAGGTTTCCAAAACAACGCAGAGGGCATTATCATCGACTCGGAGCCTGACGCTCAGCCGTTGAAGATGCCTCAGCCGGAAAATACTGCCTCCACACACCAATCGAACTTCGATCATCAAACAACATCCCATTTGTCACCTTTCTCCTCCGATACCACACCACACTGACCACAAATTATCTCAGTTTCTACTTTCTTTTCAAGCCAAAGAAGAAAACTTTCTCATTTTGTACAGAATCATCTCAAAACGCACTTTACCTTAGTCCTTAATTTCTTTTTATACTCTATATTACCTGCCCATTTTGACGTCATGATGAAATCAACACACAGCTGCTCATATAGGCATTCGTATTTAAAATAAGGGATGTGACCGAACAAAACGATCGGCGATCGGCACGAAAAACATATTATTACTATTACCGAAATATCTCCGCAGATATTAAGGCAACACTCATACCTTTCTAACACAGCTTAAAAATGTGTTGGATAACATTTTTAGCGCGTTTATTCGGACTTAGAGGACGAATTTAAATAATGTAAATTCAGGTTAAACATTTTAGAGCTGATGATGAAAATTAAAGATGACAAGACAGAGAATCTGCGTAGTATAGTCCACTCCCAATTCACGTACCTATCAAAAGCCTAGCCGCGCCAGCATGGCGTGACCTCTTTGCCCGCGAATAGTATATAGATGACCATTAAAATGAAATTGTATCATCACGCAGATTAGGCACCATTAACTTGAATGTAGTCACATTTTGTGTCGATAAAGACGTCACGACGTCCAATCATAACATTCAATCGGGAGCAGGGGCGAGGCGTGGGTGATCAACTATCGATATTTCCCTATTTGAAGTTATGGTAAAGAATCGATTATCAAGGCGTTCGTTGCGAACACTCTGTTTATCGATCCGTTTCCATAGCTTTAAATGACAAATAAATCGATTTATCGCAAAGCACGCAACCCCAATGCAATCAAAGTTGAGCAACAAAGCTTCATCTGGCTCCGTAGTTGCAAGTGCTTATTGTGCGGGGTAAATCAAACTGCATCATTTTGGGTTGATTAAGTCATGGACCGGTTCCGCTTATTGACTTGCCGCCTCCACATTGCGAGACGTTTCCGATTTTACAGATCAGTAGAATCGGTACGTAATATTCGCCGGACCGATTTACGAGGAATCCGGGGCTTGTGAATACAAGTTCCCGATGGAGCTTATTTTGGTCCATTTTCTCAATACTTAAATTCTTGAGTTCCAGCTATTTCCGTAACTCAGAAGTGTTTCTTTTTAAATCATTTCACTCGCCATGCCTACGAAATTTGCAATGAATAATTTGCAGACTTCTGGACGTTTGTTAAGTTCATGTGTAAAATGAAACTACTGGAAGAACTGAGCACGAGGATAGCCTTGGTTTCTAAATTGAACAATAATTGGAGGAATATGTTCAAATGGGAAATGCCGCCAGATGACGACACAACGCGGCAAATTTTCTCTTTTTCAAATCCATTTTTCTTTAATTTTCTATTTCGGAAAAAAATTATGAAAAATACTGCGAAATCAGCTCATTAAGCACACTCACAATCATATGAAGCATTACAAATTGTTCGTGCAAATTTTCCATTCTGCATAAGCAAATGATAAAATTAAAGAAAAACCCAAATAATCATGATAAAATGTTGATTTTTGTGATGTAGAGTTCTCATCTTCTTCACTTAAAATTATGCGTGCAATTTTTAGACCATGGACCTAGGTATCCGAGTAGTGCCCTGTTATCAGCGACGGCGATAACTATGTACCACCCACGGTCGTGCCAATGCCTCATTGTATTCTTCCTCACAACTGTAAAGTGATTACGGCCGCTCTTACACAACTAAGCTTACAAGCAGTGACGTCAGTCTGATACAATTTATTACCATCATATCTTCCATTCAAATTCAAAACGCGTAAGCATTGGAACGGAAGTGCGGGAGGAATAAGCAATGTCAACGACATCGACCAAAACTTATAATACTTTACCGTCACGATTTTAAGGGTGACTGTTGTTTTTTCACGGCGGGGTGTCTTAAACTAAGTAGTGTAGTTTGTTCGTCGCGTAATTTGGGCGTATTTATACTAAAAGGAGACGGGGAGGACGAGGAGTGTGCTCGTTAGTTGAGGGTCGTGAGAATGAATAGGAATTATTAAGCGCCAGTGACGTCAGCGGAGACGAAGCCGCTGACGTCACTGCCCGCGGTGGTCGGGAACCAGAGACAAGAGACCCTCCACTGGCCTTCTAGCGACAGGTGGAGGCTTCTACTTTCGGGGTTTCAACAATTCCTTACGGACAATTATTAGGGAGCAACAGTCATCACGCTAGTTTCGGCTGTTGACTTACCTACATGGTCGATGATGAGCTTTGGATGACGTCATGAGCCAAACAACTTTCCCAAACGTCGGCCATCTTCGGCTTGTTTGCAACACGAAACTGCCAACACGTTGTTGAACATCAACCATGTAGGTAAGTCAACAGTAGAATGCTGAAGTCCCGAAAGTAAAAGCTTCCACCATGGCCAAAATACTAGTGGAGGGTCTCTTGTCTCTGTCGGGAACTCATGAGCCCTGTCCACAACGCTCTTGCCACAGGCCCACGGCTCATGAGGGCTGCATATTTTGGCGCTCAAGTCTGTTTTATTTAATGTTAAATCCTTCTTTTCAATTTCCACACAAGGAATCGCGTCCACTTGTACATTGTTTTTTATCCAGTTTTCTAGAGTACATCCCATATTTCCCACCCGCCTCTACTTCTTTTTAGTAGAAATACGTATACATTTTATTTTGATTGAGAAAATGACTTTCAAAATTCCGAAACCCAGTTCTTTTGAACTGAAAAATATGGTGCCCTTAGCTTTTAGGACGTCACAAGTAGACTGTGTGCCATGTGCTTTTTGGAACCAACGAATTATTTAAATAGGTCAAGGGGGATGGGGGTTATCTTCCTCACCATCAAAACCAGAAAACCTCACCGGATCATGTTCAAGGTACCGCGACATGGTATCTTACCTCTAAACCCTTACAATGAAGGTCATGATAATGACTGGCGACTTCGAAAACTGAGGGGGGAAAAAAAGAAGTTAAAAACTTTCAGGCGGGTTTGTTCATTTTTTGCGGATTTTTGTTGTCATTCAAATATGACTATCTCATGCACTTGATCATCCTCCTACCTCTCCCCTCTATTCCCTATTGTCCGCAGTTTTCTCTATTTTCCGTTCCCGAGCCTCTCTTAAAACTGTACATACAATTATTCGATAAACAAGATTAGTGTGTCGGTGGATGTCTTTCCAAACGGTGGTCGCCAACTTTGCGAGATATTAATTTTGTTGTAACGATTTCCCAACATGACAGAATACTAAATCATCAATTTAAGTATCAGACGGGGAAAATTCGTTTCCAAATTTTTGCTCACAAAGGAGTGAGTTTCCGTGTTACGTTATAAATCCGTTGACCAGTGAATGTCGAAATTTTCCGTGAATTCGGATATCGACAGCAAGAGGAGTTACCCAGGGAATATCAACAAGTGACTCAGTGTAATAACGGTGAGTTTTACCTGCAATTTTATGAAAGGGAAGCATTCATCGGTAACGTTACGCTATAGGGGAGGGGAGGCATGAGCCCGCGTTACGCTGCGTTACAAGGGAGGGAGAAGGGGTCAGCGCATGCATTACGTAACCCTCTTTATTGTTAAAAAACGCAGAAAATCCCTGGTTCCCTGACAAGGTGACGAATTATATTTTAAAGGCAATCCGCGTATCCATAATCAAGATCTGAAAGCAGTATCGTGATTTGCGACGTTTCAGATGAATCGTCCCTTTTTATTTTTTCAAATAAAAACTAATGCAATTTAAAGTTGAACTTCTTTTTATCGGGCTGCATTTTGTTGGATGATATTACCTTTCTCCCGATCACTTGTTATCCGATTTTAGACGATATCTATTTCGATGTTACGTGCACATCATCATCAGGTCACTTCGACTTCGATTTGGTGAACACTAAAAGTCACATCGTATATTATTAAAATTTACTAAAATTTACTAAAAAACACTCGACCACATTGAAGTCGAAGTGACCTGATGATATGTGCACGTAACATCGAAATAGCTATCGTCTAAAATCGGATAACAAGTGATCGGGAGAAAGGTAATATCATCAAACAAAAAAACTAATGCATTGTTCTTGAAATGTTCATGGGTTTTTCTTCTTCTGTACAGAATTGTAATAATTTCAATTCGAAACATTCATTGATTTTTTTTTCGAAAAAATAAAACAAGAATGGAGGTATTAAGGCGTTGCTGCATTTAATTTTTATTTCTTTTTTATTTCTTTTTTTTCTCCACTTAAACCGATAAAGAGAGGGACGAAGTAGCGTTCATCCTTAGGTCTCCCGTGTCATTTTCTCACACCATAGTTAAAAACTTATCACCACACCATCACCAGTATAACACATTACTGTCGAGCGAATCGCTGAAATTTTTACGGAAGAATTTAGTATCCAGATGGGAATTCCTCCTGGCTTAAATTGAACTACATCATGAAAAAAATGAATGCAAAGTATTGATGTACAACATAGGAAAAACAATCAGTTACCAAGTAACGCGCCAAATACAGCTAATAGGGGGAATAATATATCGCGCTACTAACTAGCGCGTTAAGGTGAAAAGGAACGGGGCTGAAACTTAGCGGAACGTATGATCAAAATTTTACGAAAGTTATTACATATTTTTGGAGGTAGTCTGAGTTTGCACTACTGGTGCATCACATGGACGTGAGGAAAGCTCAAAAATAGAGAGGGTACATTGTGTACTTGGAAAAAAATGTGTCGGTTGAGACGCCCTAAGATTTCGTGACACACTTGTGTGGTAGACGGTAATGATTACTATGTGTTCCGAAACTTTCCTAAAACCAAAGTGAAGGGCGGATGAATCAATTGCAATTTCATCAGTTAATATCAATTCTAAGTAAGAGAAAATGTACTTTGTAGGCATATGTTAAGTTTTAAGTCATTATTACTGATTTATTGATCCCACTTCATATTTTACTCTTACGCTCTCGCCAAATAGGGGCTAATGTGTTGGTTTCATTGTGAACAAGCTCAAATTAAAGAATGAGTCAAATGAGCTACCTATTCCTCTAGTCAAATGTATTAATTTAGTATTTTGTCAGCGCTTACTAGGCTAGATTATCCATAAATAGTAAAAACAAAAAACCAAAAAATATAAATTCGAGTTACCATTGTAGTGGAAAACTTCTTCTTAAATCCTAGATAGTGATTTTTAATATTAGTTACCAAGTTTTAATGTTATAATTTGTTGACTCATTTATTATTTACATTTATTTATGATATACTGTGATCAATACAATTCTTTATATTTGTTATTATGCAAGGTAGCAGCTTAAATTTCAAGCTAGCTCTAAGTATTTCCTGTTTTGTTATAGTTTTTGATTATGTTATGTCTTTCTTGATAATGTTTTAACCATATGATGGCGTGTGATTGTTGCATGTTACGAACTGAAACTTTAGGGAAAAACCTTGGCTAACCTGCAGACGGTTATTCTTGAAATTTTTGTATAAAATTTTGCGGTTTTTTTTTCTCCGGCACTCAAGAATTGAGTTGTTCGTGTACTTAAAATATTGGTGCATGGCACTTTAAAATCAGTGGCTTAGTTTTCAGCAGTTTTTTCCCGTGTATACAAACGATGTAGGGGAAAAACTCACGGCCACAGAAGTCTCTTAGGGTAGTTTTCTCGGATTCTGAGTTTGAAATCATCCATTCACTTTCATGTCCCCAAATTTCCTGCAGCCAATTTTTCAAAGAAAAATCTAGGGTATTATCCTATTTTTTATCCTGCGTCCAACTAGCAAATTTTGAATAGCTTATTGAGCAGATTTTAGAATTAAAAAGTCAAGGGTCTCAAAATTCTGCATGACGAATTTCATGTAGGAAATTGTTGAGAAACTTGATGATAAAGGGGTTAGTCTGAGTCCCTTCCAGACAAGATACTGCGCTTTCACAATTATGAAGGGCTGTTAGTACAACGACTCATATTTTAAAACTATTATTTGCAAAAATATTCTATATATGAAAAATCTTACTTTTACAGTAGATAGTTAAAAAAAGTAACTGTTAAGAGGGAAAATAAGTCAGGTTGCTATCATTTTGAAATTTTTCCTCTATTTAAAATTGTGTATAATTATTTTTTATCCGAAAGGACATGCATCACGGAATGTATAATTTTCGGAATGTAAATGTATGTAAATTTCTCATGAGTTTGATGTAAAACTAAAGTTGTTCGCTGCTTGCACCATGGCAAAAAATCTTTGTTTGCTGTATTAAAACTTTATCTTCCTCTTTTCCCACAGGGAACTTTTCAGTTCCTTCATCGCCATAGTATTACCTCAATAAACTATGACTGAAAATGAAGAGCAATAACTCAATTCTAAATGATTAAGGACTTTGAGGAAGAGGAGATACGTATAAATCGTAGGCGGATCCAAGAGAGGGTCAAAAAGGGCACACCCCCCCCCTTCAACCAAAAAAAGGAAGAAGAGAGGGGGAAGAAAGAAAGAAGGGAGGAACGCCGAAGAGGAGAAGAAAGGTCGCTCTTATTAGGTAATTATTTATGACAAAATTGACCCAAACTATAGATTATATGCTTCCAAATTCAGAAAATTTTCTGGGGGGAACCTCTCGGGCCCCTCTTCCACCCTTCCCTCCCCCGTTCCAAATGTCTGGATCCGCCTGCGGTATAAATTAACATTTATGGAAAATTATGGTACACTTATACACATGACACAATATACATCCCTGGCTCCCATGCCTTTCCGTTTTTGTTTTAACATCGATGTTTAATACGACCACTATCATCCCAACATTATGATTTTAGAGACTTTAAAGTTTTTATACGCCTATTTTTGTAACTCTCGCGTTTGAACGACCATATCAATAATTGTGATATTAATTGACTTC